GTCACCACTTTTAAACCACTTTGAGGTGGTTTAAGCCGTAAACCGACAAAGCCGGAGCAGTCTGAGTCTCCCTTAAACCTCCCTCASTTTTATTACCCTCGGTCATTACCAGCCTAAAGCCCATTGTTCAGATTAAACCACAATCCCTCTTTTTAACCCTCTTAATCGCTCCTGGCAGAGCCTCCCTGCTGCGGGAAAGGCGATTCCCATCAGCTGCTTCCCTGAATCCCGGGATTTTCATCCCTTTTCCTCCTCCTGCAGCAGCGGGGAAGGGGTGTTGGATGTTGGGGTAGCATTGGAGAATCCCTCGTATCTTCCTGAGCTTCCCTGGGTTTATTTTTTTCCCTGTCTGGGATTTTTGGGATGCTTTAGGGAATCTGTGMGTTGGGTTTTGGGATGAACCAGCTGGATCTGGTGTGGCCATCCCCTGACAATGGGAATCAATGAATTTAACTAAAGAAAAGCTGGGATTTAGACCCAAATTCCTCCTCCTCATCACTCTCCCCTTCCCTCTTCTCTTTCCCCTTCTCCTTCTCTTCCCCATTTCCCTTCTCTTCCCCCTTCTCCCTTCGCCATTTCCCTTCTCTTCCCCCTTTCCCCTTTCCTCATTTCCCTTTTCTTCCGCCTTCCCCTTCCCCTTCCCCTTTTCCCTTCTCTTCCCCCTTCCTCATTTCTCTTCTCTTCCCCCTTCTCCCTTCCCCTTTTCCCTTCTCCCTTCTCTTTCCCCTTCCCCCGTTCACAGATCCTTGAGGGTCTCTCCCAACCTGGAAATTGTGGCTTTGCCAAAGCAGAGCCGGGAAAAGGCTGYGTTTACCCACACCGAGATGAAATTGGGACAGGAAAAATGCAGAGTTGTTGTTTTATGATATTTTAGATGCATCTTTTCACAACCCCTGGTGTCTCCCGGAATCCAGGTCCCCCCCAGAACAGCCCCAGGTAAAACTGAGATGGTTTTGATCCTCCAAACTCGATCCTTCCTCTGCCTTTAGCCCCAAAACCACACATTTTTGGCACATTTTTTGAGCCGATATGAAAAGGGGAAAAATCTCCCAGGTGGAAGAATTCAATGGGAAATACTTGATTGAACTCGGGAGATTTGAGCCCTAAAACCAGAGGAGGTGACAATTCCTGCCTTCATCCCTGCTCCTGGCAGGAGCCTTGGAGCAGCAGGGTTTGTGGCATCCAGAGGTTTCCTTTCCAGCCTTGGAGGGGCTTTGGTGGCCACTGGCCCTTTTCTCCTGTCCTTCAGAGCAGCTTTGGTGGCCACTGGCTCCTTCCTCCTATCCCTCAGAGGGGTTTGGTGGCCACCAGCTCCTCTTGTCCTTCAGAGCAGCTTTGGTGGCCAGCAGCTCCTCCTGTCCCTCAGAGAGGTTTTGCTGACCACTGGCCCCTTCCTCCCATCCCTCAGAGCGGCTTTGGTGGCCACTGGCCCCTTTCTCCTGTCCCTCAGAGAGGCTTTGCTGGCCACTGGCCCCTTCCTCCTGTCCATCAGAGTGACTCCTCAGAGGGGTTTTGGTGGCCACCAGCTCCTCCCATCCCTCAGAGAGGTTTTGCTGGCCACTGGCCCCTTTCTCCCATCCCTCAGAGAGGCTTTGGTGGTCACCAGCCCCTTCTTCCTGTCCCTCAGAGGGGCTGTCGTGGCCACTAGCCCCTTCCTTCCATCCCTCAGAGAGGCTTTGGTGGCCACCAGCCTCTTCCTCCTATCCTTCAGAGGGCTTTGGTGGCCCCTGGCCCCTTTCTCCCATCCTTCACAGTGGCTTTGCTGGCCACCGGCCATTTTCTCCCATCCTTCAGAGCGGCTTTGGTGGCCACCAGTTCCTCCTGTTCCTCAGAGTGGTTTTGGTGGCCACTGGCCCCTTCCTCCTGTCCATCAGAGTGACTCCTCAGAGGGGTTTTGGTGGCCACCAGCTCCTCCTATTCCTCAGAGGGGCTTTGCTGACCACTGGCCCCTTTCTCCCATCCCTGAGAGTGGCTTGGGTGGCCACTGGCCCCTTCCTCAGAGTGGCTTTGGTGGCCACTGGCCCCTTCCTCCTGTCCCTCAGAGAGGCTTTGCTGGCCACCGGCCCCTTCCTCAAAGTGTCTTTGGTGGCCACCATCCCTTTCCTCCATCCCCTCACCCTTCCCAACCCCCCTGGCCACCATCCCCTCTCCCTCCGTGGCCTCACCTTGTTGATGGCCAGTCCCTGGCGCGAGTCAGCCGGGGTGATCTCGTGCAGGATGGCAGCACCCACCACGCCACCCAGCAGCTGCGCCGCCACGTAGAACAGGGCTCGGAGCAGCGAGAGCTGCGAGCCCAGCAGGCAGCCCAGCGTCACGGCGGGGTTGATGTGGGCACCGCTGACGTGGCCCAAGGACTGCACCAGCGTGCCGATGGCCAGCCCGAAGGCCAGCGCGATCTGCAGCGTGCTGGGCGCCGGTGCTGATGGCCAGTTGAGCGCCGAGCCCAGCCCGAAGAGGACGAAGACCAAAGTGGCCAAAAATTCCGCCAAGACCGCCCTGCTGAAGGCGATGGAACGCAGTTCCCACATCATGGAGGCTCCCAGCGCTGACCCAGGAGTGTCCTCTGTCCCCACCTCCCGCCGTGTCCCCGAGGATGAGCTGGGACCACGTTTATATATCCAGAGGAGGAGGGGAGCCACGGGATCAGCTGCTGGAGGGGATGGGACCACGGTCCCGGGAAATCTGATGCTTTTTTTCCTTCCGTGTTCCAGCTGAGGGAACATCAGATCCTGCCCCTTCCACGCCAGCCGGGGAATGCGGCGCTCGCCACCCTTGGCAGGGCATGGATCAGAACAATGGAACAATCAGAAAAATCAGGCTGTGATG